CACAACCGCAACAAACGCGAAAACGTGTTCATCCCCTTTACGATCGAATATATAAATCGATTCGATTTATAAACGATTATCTCGATGGTGAAGGTTCTCTCGCTCGTTGATTTCAAATTTTGCGGTGTCACGAAAAAGGTTAAAGGAAAAAGGGATGGGTGGGGGGTCAAAGGTTCACCCACGCGAACTCACACGCTACAAAAAAAAAATTTTTATTTGTCGGTTAGACTAATCGTTAGCGATGGAGCTAAGTACGTAATCGTTATTATTCAATTTCCGGTTATGATTATTTTCTTTTTTTATTAGAAATTGAGTAAAGAGGAGGAAATTTATGGGAAATTCCATAAAATTTTCCAGAAGTGAAAGATTATAATAATAATAATAAGGTCACGAACGAACGCGTCTTTTTTGTGAATCAAATAAAACATAAACGAATGAATAATATAAAAAAAAAAATAAAACAGGAAACGGAAATAGTTTTAAATACTAAAAAATTTTATTTGCTTTCTTTACGTTTAAGGTTTTTTCTTGTAGTTCGTAGCACAATAATTTTATAATAAAAGTTTAAATAATTTTTTTAATTGTTTGGAGAGCAATAAACAATTTTTTTCGATGGCGCACGCGTCGCACTCATAAAATAAAAATTTAAAATTTGGAAGAAAAAAGAAATTATTACGCGTAATAATAATAATAATAATAATAATAATTTTCGACCGGAAATTCATTAAAAATGATCGCGATCGCGTGTGAAAATTTCGCCGATCTTCCGCCTCCCCCGGGAGGAAAAGTCGGAAAAATTCAAATCATTTATTTAGGAACGATGTAAATTATAATTCAAGGTTTTGTGTTAAGTCATAGAGTAACAAAAATGATTTGACTTTTTTTTTTTTAAGGTTTATTATACTCTATGATTTTATAATTGCGTATGTGAGGGGGAATTTTTTTTTTTTTTTGTAAGAGAAAATTTAAAAAAAAAAAAAAAGGATATTCATTCGTCGCTTGTTTGTTTTGTGTCGGTTGTTTGTTTGTTTTTTGTTTGTCGTTGTTGTTTGTTTATTTTTTATTCATCCGAAAATTTTTCGTGAAAATATTTTATGAGTATCTTTTTTTTTTTTTTAAGTTTTTTTTCTCCGGTGAGTTAATTTTAAAAGGCCAGTTTTTTTAAAATATAAAAATCTCATTCGATGACGTCATTTCCGGTTTTGTAATTTTTTTTTCTGTACTTACCGAATAGTATCATCATCATTATAATCATCATCGCCATCATCGTCAACATCCGGAATTTGATTTTTTTTTCTTTTTTGTCTTTCTTCCTTTTTTTTTTTTTTTTTTTTTAAAAAAAAGAAAGGAAGTAAGAAAATAATAATAATAATTAACGAAAATAATAGTAAATATTTTTGTTTGTTGTTGTTGTTGCGACAACAAAGGCGGGTAAATTAATTTTGATGTTCCTGTCAGAATCAGTGATGATGATTCTGGATCTGGAAATGAAAATATGATAACTGTTAAGTTTTCGTTAAATCTTTTTTGTTTAAATAATATTTACAAGAGATGATGGCAAAGACGATGATGATGATGATGATGATGATGATGATGATGTTCTGACTACAACAACTTAACAATTTTTTTTTTATTAACAAAAGAAAATAATAATAATAATAATCATTGAAAGTTTTTTAATAAGAGTTGGCGTCGGCGTCGTCGTCGATTTCTTTTTTTTTTATTACAATAGCAAAAGAAACTTTCTAGAATAATTTAAAAAAAAAAAAAAAAAAATTGTTTGAATGAATAGAAAAAAATACGTGGATCGGTTATAATGATAATGATAATGATGATGATGATGATAATAATAATAATAATAATAATAATAATAATAATAATAATAATAAATAAAAATAATGAAGAGCAAACATCGCTCGCAGAAATGAGTAAAGTTAAAAAAAAAAGAAAAGGTGAAAAGGTAAAAAAGGAAAATAAACTCTAGAAGGGGGGGGGGGTTTCTTTCAGAGAGAAGGTTTTGGGGAGAGTGTAGGGGAGTGGGGTAAAGTGAGGGAAAGCTTAAAAAAGAGGTAGGAAAGAGTATTTAAATAAAGAGATTTTATTAACCCGAGATAAAAAAAAAAAAAAAAATTCTTAGTTACTTTATACATGTATATATATAAGAAATAATTTTCATAAATTTATAACAAAAGTTTCGAGAACAAACACAAACAACGCAAACAAACAAACAAACAAACAAACGCACGTTAAAAAAAAAAGAAAAAAATTTTAAATGTTTCGTAAATGTTTTTAAACGTTCATTATTATTCGCGATTTTGTTTTGTTTTCTTTTCTCTTTCCGTTTTCCGGCCGCCATTTTATTTTCACCTTTCGCGAATTTAATTATCGATATAATAAATAATTAATTAATTAATTAATAATTTATTAAATCGTTCCGCTTAATAATTTTAAACTATAAAATTTTATGAATGATGTAAAAAAAAGAAATGCGATTTTTCATACGCGACGGTTAACTCGTAAAGTCATAGAGGTAGAAACGGAAATAAAACGACTTGGGGTTTTTTGTTTCGATGACGATATCTCGAAAGTTTCGTTAAAAAAAAACTTCATAATTTATTTATTAAAAAATAAAAAAATAAAAAAAATAAGGGATGAAGAAAAATTCGAGAAAAATTCAATAAAATCGATAAATTATCGAAAAATGATTTTAATTAATTAATTAATTAATTTTTTTTATTTTATTTTAAACTTTTAATTAAACGTTAACGGGTTTTTTTTTTTTTTTTTAATTTTAATTTAAAGTTACTGAGGTAAAAAAAAATTGTACGACGACGACGACGCACGTTAAAGAATTTTTTTTTTTTTCATTTTACGTAGGCGAATCGTTAGAATGACGACAAAAAAAAATTTTATTATTATTATTATTATTATTATTATGTATTTTAATTAATGACGTCATTAAAAATTTTTTACACGCGCGTTCGAATCGAATTTTTTTTGTTTAAACAAAAAGGAAATTATTTTTAAAATACGCGTAAATTATGTACGTATAAAATTTTTTTTCAAGTAAAAAAACGGTATCGATTTCCGGTTTCGACTTCCGGTTCCGATTTCCGGTTCCGATTTCCGGTTCCGATTTTTTAATAATTAAAATAAAGTGAGAAAAGGGAATGAATTTTATATGAAAGGGAAAGAAATTTACAAAAGGGTTAAAAGAAAGTTTTCGAATTTAACAAAAAAAAATTTTCCTCCCTTTTTCCCTCCTCCTCCCATCTTTTGCTATCCTCACGATTTTGCGGTTCATGATTATTTCTTTTTTTGAAATTATGTATTATTATTATTATTCATTAATTAATTTAACTTTTTCTAGTTTTATACGTTTAAAAATTCGATGAAAAAAAATAGGAAAGGAAAGAAAAGTTTCGGGTCGTTTTAATAGATTCGATTTGATTTCCGGTCGCCATATTGAATTTTTATTTTATTTTATTTTATTTAACACTTTTATAATATGATAATTAACTCTTTTTTGTTTTATAAAATTTATGAGAAAGTAAATTTTGCGGAAGTTTTCATCCCTCCTTATCTCTCTCTCTCTCTTTTTACGAGTAAAATTTAAAATATAAATTAACAATTTAAAAAAGGGATAATTACCTTTGTGCCGGTGTTAAAGACAAAAAATTATTTATATATATATGTAATAAGTAAAGGTTTTAAATATTTAAACATGGCGGCGGCGTCGGCGGTGGCGTCGGAACGCATAAACTATGAATTAAATGATGCGTGGATGAAATTTTTTTTTTTTTTAGATTTGGGTGCGTGTGTGCGTGTGCGTGCGTTTTGTATACGCAGAAAAAAAAAAAATTATTTTTACGCTTGTTACGTAATTTTTTTCTTATCGTACTGGAAAATTCATTGAAAAAAAAAAAAAAATAATGATGTCGTAATTAATTTTGATCAACGTTTTCTCTTTATAAAAAAAAAATATCAAAGGATTCTGTCATCGTTTGTTGTTGTTGTTAACATAACAAACATTTCACGGGACGCTTAGTTAAAAAAAAGTTTCTTATTAGCGAGTAGCGACGCCATTTTAAAAAAAAAATGAATTTCCAACTCGTTCCAGTTTCTTATAATATTTTTATTTTTGTCACCCGGAATGAAGAATAATTTTTTTTTTTTTTTTTTTTTTTTTTTTACCCGGGTCGTACCCCCGTAATTTTTATACGTAATAAAACCAATGTTTACTGTTGTGCGCTGTTGTCATTTCGAAACAAAAAAAAAAAAAGAAAAGCGAAAGGTTTGAGAAAATTTTACGCGTTGAAAAACGTTAAGAGAATTTCGGCGGGGGGGGGGGAAACAAGAAAAACATGAAAAAAATATGAAAGAGTAAAAAATTATTATTATTATTATTATTGTTATTGTTTAATGTTGTTTCTTGTCAAAAACAAAATGGTGGAACAAAAAAAATTTTTACATGTAGGTAATGAAAAAAATATACAATGAAAAATGTTTATGCATGACATGTTTAATATGGTTGATTTGTTGCCCAAATCAAATTCAATCAAAAAAAAAAAATGTATTTTATTTATTTATTTTTGATTTAGAGAATAAAAACAAAAAAAAACCCTTTAGGGGATGTTTTCTCTTTAACCTTTTTTCCAATCCCCTTCCTCCCTCCTTCCATCCCTCCCTACGGCAGGAACGCCCATCAAATAGTTTTCAATTTTTTTTTTTTTTTTGCTAAAAGTAAATATAAAATTTAATGTGATTTTTTTTTTTTTTGTTATAGAATTGATGTGAAAGTAAATAGCAGAAGAAGAAGACGGAACGACGACACAATAAATAAATAAAATTGGTTAATTAAATTTTTGGAAAAGGAAGAGAAAAAGAAGAAAAGAAAAGAAAAAAAGAAAGAAAAGAAAAATTAAATTAATTTTTTAAGGTATGGGGAAAAGAAGAAAAGAAAAAAAAATGAAAATTTCAGGGAAATGATGACGGCAAAAATGATAAATGGAACGAATAAGAAATTGATCGAAAGGATCAAAACTACGGCGACGGGTGTTACTCCAATTCCACACGGAGACGTGCTCAATCACACGACGACACCCATACCCAGCGTTAATTTAACGGGTTACACGTTCTCACCCAACAGTAACATAATAGACGTTCAAAACGGTTGGCAATCGAATGGAAACGACGTGCCCAGCACGATAATAACGACGCCGAACGACGTACCCGTCGTTCCGGCCATAGTGAAAGGTTTTATTATGGGCACGATCATAGTGACGGCCGTTCTCGGAAACATTCTCGTCATAATAAGCGTGATAAGACATAGAAAATTGAGAGTGATAACGAATTATTACGTAGTGAGTTTGGCCATGGCGGATTTATTGGTCGCTTTGTGTGCCATGACGTTCAACGCGAGCGTCGAACTGACGAACGGAATGTGGCTGTTCGGGTATTTCATGTGCGACGTTTATAACAGTTTGGACGTTTATTTTTCCACGGCCAGCATACTTCATTTGTGTTGCATAAGCGTGGATAGATATTACGCCATTGTCCGACCACTGCAATATCCGATCACAATGACTCACAGAACGGTGACGTTCATGTTGGCCAACGTTTGGATATTACCGGCGTTGATAAGTTTCACGCCGATTTTTTTAGGTTGGTACACGACGGAAGAACATCAGGAATTTCGTAGAACTAATCCTAAAGTGTGCATATTCGTCGTTAATAAATATTACGCTTTGATATCCTCCGGAGTGAGCTTTTGGATTCCGGGTGTTGTCATGATAATCATGTACTATAAAATATACAAGGAAGCCGTCCGACAGAGGAAGGCATTGAGCAGAACATCATCGAACATCGTTTTGAATTCGATACATCAACATCGTCGACAAACTCATCGCATGCATTATCAACATCATCTTCATCCGTGCGAAACCGGAAACCAGATCGAAATACCGGATAATCACAGGTATTCGATAACGAGCACGTACGGATCCGTTAAAACTACGCCCACGGTGGAAGTCAACATGAACGGTGAGTTTTTTTAAAAAAATTTATTTTTTTTAAAACTTTTATTTATGGCGGGAAAACGACGATGACGACGACAATAATCGAAACTCGAAAATCGATCAAATAAATCCTATCGAAATAAAAACGGGGGGGAGGAAATTTTACAACAGAATAAGTTATTTAATTTCTAAAACACGAAATACAAATAATAAAAAGGAAACGGAAAATTTAAAGGAAATAAAGTAAGTTATTTTATTTATTTCCGTTTCCGTTTAAAAAAAAAAAAAAAGAAAACTAAACCGATTTCAACACGTATTAAAAAACAAAATGAATAAATTCCAAAGGAAAAGAAAAGAAAAATGGCGTACACGCAATAAATTTTTTAATATATATATATATATTTGTAATCCCTTAAAAAATTCAAGGGATGAATAGAGAAAAACAAACACGCACACACACAAAAAAAATCTTTTTTCGGGGAAGGGGGTGGGGGGAAAAATCTGACGACAGCAAAGTAAGAAAAAAAATTTATTTCATACTCGGGGAAACAATTTAGTGAAATATGACAAGTCTAGTCAAATTTGCGTTCTGAAAAAAATGGGAAAAAAAAAAATTTTTGTTTTTTTCCTTTTTTTTTTTTTTTTTCCTCGGAAAGAAAATTGACGTTGCAAAAAAAAAAAGAAAAAAAAATTTTCTTTTTTTCCTTTTTTTTTTTTTGCTACTAACAAGGGCACGAAATTTTCCCGCGGTCGGAATAAAATAAAATTAAAAAAAAAAAAAAAAAAAAAAAAACGATTTGAGAGAATGAGTCCCATCGTACTTTTGCAAACGCGAATCTCTTTTTTTTTTTTTGCTGTTGCACCGTTTTATATTTTTTTATTGCATTATCGAAAAAGGAAAACCTTTTAAGCCTACGCCGCAACGCATTTCCGGATTCTGTTACGGAAACCCCCCCCCCGTTTCCTCTCCTCTTTTCCGTTTCCTTATCCCTTTCCCCCGAACGTCGAACCGACCGACAGGTTAACCAACCGACAAAATTTAATTTAACGCTTTTAACAAAAAAAACCGACAGCATACGTATAACGTATACGATGAGGACGACAACGACGACGACAAAGAAAACGACAGGAAAAAAGTAAAAACCGCAACGAGAGGTTGAGGGATGTGAAAAGCTGGGGAAGGGGGGGGAGAGAGGAAAAAAGGAAAAACTAATCTGTTTAAATCGGTTTTTTTTTTTCGGAAAGTTTTTTTTTTTTGTTGGGAAAACCTCATAATAATCGATATTATCGTTATATCGATTTATCGATCGAGAATAAAAACGTAAAGAGATAGAGAAAGAGAGAGAGAGAGAACGGGGAGATAGGGGGAGGGGGGCAGAGAAAAAATATTTATGAAACGTCCTATGTGAAAATTTATTATTGCACGAAAACTTTGATTCGAGTTTTTTTTTTCCAAATTTAAAATTTAATAATAATAGTAATAATGATGATGATGGTAAAATCGAAATGGAAAGTGAAGAAAACATAAAAAAAATTGGAATTTTCTTTTCTTTTTTTTTTTTTTTGGAATTTTTATAAAAAATTTTCCAGGGACGTGAACATCGAAAAAAGGTTTTTCTTTTTTTCTCTCTCTCTCTCTCATCTCATTAAAACTTCGTCTGTGAAATCGAAAAAAATAAAAAAAATTTATAAAATTCGGACAAAAAACTATTTGAAAAGGAGAGAAGAGAGAGAGAGAGAGAGAGAGAAAGGAAAATTTTTTTTTTTCGTTTGTAACCGACCGACGACAGACGACAGGTGAAAATTTAAAAAAAAAAAAAAAAAAAGGGACAAGGAAAAAACAACGAAAACGGATATGAAAACGTGAAAAAAGGTAAAATAAATAAAAAACAAAAAGCGAGAGAGTCGATGGGGTGGCGGTGGCGAAAAGGGAGGGAGGGAAAGGGGAGTAGGCGGCGATTGTAGTTAATAAAAGGTCGTCGCGAATCGATAATTAAAAAATTATCATTATCATCATTAATTTTTTTTTTTTTATCGATTGTGATTTCATTCAAACCTGTTTTCAAAAAAAAAAAAAAAAAAAGAAAAAACCGGGGTAGGGACGGTTAACGTTAACGGAAATTTAAAACCGGAAACGGAAATGAAAAAAAAGGAAGTAAAACGTCATCGTTGTCGTCGTCATTTTATTATAAGAAGGCGGTGTATTAAAGGAAAAACAAAAAATATCGGCTTTGGTTTTTCACAAAACTTTTTAAAAAAAGAAAGTAAATCAGGGATGCCAACTTTAAAACATAACAATTTAGGTTCGAATCGTAAAGTAGAAAACAAAACAAAAAAAGAAAGAAAATTTATGTTTTTAAAAAACTTTAAAACAAAAATTTTTTTCTTTTGTTACATTAACCGAAAGAGAAACAAAAAAGAAAGAAAGAAATTTTTTTTTTGCTAAAGTTTAAAAATAAATTTTTTTTTTTTTTTAAAGTTTCAAAAATTAAAAAGAAAAAAGAAAAATAAAGAAGCAGAAGACGAAAGGATTTTCATTTTTCTTTTGCTTCATTTTATTTTTCATAGAGAAAATAAAATAAAAATCTTCCAATCATTTTATTATTATGATTTTTGCTGCAGTTTGAAAAAGATCAGCGAAAAATTTTCTTTCTTTCTTTCGGTTTTGTTTTATTTGGTGGTGTTGGTGAGGCGGTTTGTGGCGGTTGTTTTTTTTCTAACCGGCGGAAATTTTTTCTGGAAAATTAAATTCCTTTGAGATTTTTCCTTTTTTTTTTTTTTTTTTCTATTTTAATGGGTATGAGATTTTGTAGGCGGAAAAAAAAATGGCGGAAAAGTATTTGTCAAATCGTTTAATTTAAATAAAATCGAAATTAATTTTTCAGGTTTAAATTTTTGAAAAAAGGAAGGAAAAAGGGAAAAAGTGGGGGAGGGGGGAAATATTTGTTTTATTAAAAAAAAAAATTAACGCGGGTTCATCGACCTTTTCGCAAAATTCGTTAAATTAATTTTTTTTTTTTTTTTGTCTCGTGCCACTTTACGTTGTAGGACGCATTTTCATTACGTAATTTTTCTTTTCTCGATTCGAAGAATTTAAAATTTCATAGAGAAGGGGGAGGGAAAGAGAGAAACAAAAAAAAATTTGTTTTTTTTTAAAGGGGGATGAAAAGGTTGGAAAGGGTTAAAAGTAAATTGAGGGATGAGCAACAGAAAAATAAATGTTTTAAATTTTAAGTCACAAAAAAAAAAAAAGGTAAAATTTAACAAATCAAAATGAAACTGGAAATTTTTTTTCTTTCCTTTTTTTTCCCTTTTTCCCTTTTTTTTTTTTTTTCTAAACTCTAAAAGCTCTTTCAATTAGTTGAAGGTTTTTATATGAAAAAGGAATAAAAAAAAAAAGGAAGGAAAGAATGAAAAATTCTCAGGAGAAGGAAAAAAAGGGAAAAAATTTTTTGCCCAACAAAAAATCGCACAGAAAAAAAGAAAATTTTTTTTTTTTTTAATTCATTGTATTCTTTTATCAGTGTTCGTTATTATTATTATTATCATCATTATCATCATCATCTCTTGTCGTTTAATTAAAGACATTATTTATGGGGAGAGGGAGAAAAAGAGAGAGAGAGAGAAAGAAAAAAGAACAAAAACTTTTCCGATTTTTTTAAATTTAAATACAAAAAAAAAAAAATTCATCATCGATTCATTCGGAAAAACAATCGATAATTATTATTATTATTATCAAAACATTTTTTTGTGCTGTTGTCTATTTACACGTTATTTTTGATTATTTTCCGTGGAAAAAAGTTATTGAGAAAATTACGTAGAATTTTTTTTTTTTTTTTCGAAAAAAAAAAAAATGAAAAGAAAGAAAGAGAAAAAATCAAAGAATTTTTTTTTTCGTTTTGTTTTTCTTACGTTGGCAACACCTGGTTTCGAATAAATAAACGTTAGAAAAAAAAAAAACTATATATATGTATATATATATATATGTTTGTTGTTTTTCCCCCCCCCCGCGCAAAACATCTGGATGAATATATATATATATATATATATATATATATATATATATATATGTGTATATTTATATTTTATTTATTATAAAATTTAGACAGAGAGGAAAGGGAAATGACGGGAAAAACGGGGAGGGGGGGAAAGGAAACGACGGGAAACGGGAAAAGGAAAATGAAGACGAAGTAAGGGATAGAATAAAACCGTAAAAAAAAAAGAAAAAAAAAAACATTCAAATCTGATTGTAGTTTTTTTTTTTTTTTATTTATTACGGTTGACTAATGTATTTTATATGATAAAAATTTCCAAAATGGCGGAATTTTTTTTTTTATTTCGAAGAAAAAAAAAAAAGAAGTAAAAAATTCATTTTAAATTTAATTCACGTAAAAAAAATTCTCTCTCTCTCTTTCTCTCTCTCTCTCTCTCTTATATTTTTATATTTAAAAAAAAAATTTTTGAATAATTTGTCGTACGTGCGTGTGTCTGTGTCTGCGTGTGTGTGTGTGTTTCCGTTTCCGTTTCCGTTTCTTCCTCTTTCCCCTCCCTATCGTCCTCCATTTTCTTCGGCTAATCTCTTTTCCTGCCTTTTTTTTTTTTTTTTTTTTTGATATTTAAAAAAAAATCTTATTACACTTTTTTGGCATTGTTAAACGAATCGTTTGAGTAAAAAAAGGGAAAAAAAAAAAAAAATTCTTTTGACACGACGTTTTTATTCAACGAATGGTGACGTCACAGATACTTTTTTGACGTACAAAAAATAAAATTTTTTTTTTTTTTTCTTGGAAAAAGTTTATTTTCCGACGTGCGTGAATAAAAAAAAAGGATTCGGATAAATTTTTTTTTTTTTTTGCGGGGTTTGGGGGAAAAAGAAAATTTTCCATATTGATTCAGTCAGGTATGAAAAAAACTGAATTTTTTTTTGTGGGGGGGAGACGAGAGGAAGGGAGAGAAGCCAAAAAAAAAAAAAAAGTTCAAATTTATTTTTTTTTTTCTCGTTTTTCATCTTTCTCTTTTTTTTTGTTGGACTTTTCCATCATTTTTAACCTGTAAAACTTTTTATTTTTTTTTCTTTTCCCTCAGGATATTTTCTTTTATTTTCTGTCCGTGTGGTGATTTGTTGTTTGCTTGTTTGTTATTTGTTTGTTTTAAAAATAAATCGTTTGTAGGATTTTAAAACGCGAATTTAATATGTAATTAACAAAAGTTTTTTTCCCCGGAAAATTTCCGGAAAAAATTCAAACG